CGACCACCTGGTACGTTCACATTGTACAGCAAGTACAGCCCGTGGCACCCGTGCCTCGCTATCGAGTTGTCCCTTCCAATAAGCCCCGTCGTAAACAATGGCTTCGATGAATTCGGATCGTTTACACGAATCTTGATATCCAGGAAAATAAATTTCAGTCTAAGCGTAGAGTACCAAGTACACATGTTAAATCAAGATTGGTATTTTACCTGAAGCTCAGCTAGAGTAGCCGATGCTAGCGCGATCCGCAGTTTATAGGTACCGTTACGGTCTACTCTGTCGAGTTTAAACTTGATTTGCCATGTGGTTCCCGTGTGTGAACCATCGGCTTGCCTCCTGTTGGATTAAGAAATGCGTTAAAACAAAGCAACAATGTACATAAGCAGGCAAATGAAGGATTGGAGAAAGGGTACGCAAATTCGTAATTGTTGCACATCAGTTAGATCAATTACCTTACCACATGAGCAAAGAACCAGTCTTTGCGGTAGTCACAGCAATCTACGTCGTAAACCAAGTCCGAGTCAGGATACATCTCTGCATATCTATTCCACAATCCGTACTGCCGAAACCTGAACAGTAGACCGACACTCAGGTATTAATCAGATGGACATGGGAACAAAAATGGTGTAACATGGCTTCAAAGTACTTGTAAGCTCCAATAAGATAAGAAGCCTCAGCCCTCAAGTCTATGGTATAAAGAAGTTTCCTTTCCTGGTCCAGGGAAGAAGCAAGAGTGTTTGAGAACTTCGAACCTATCAGGATGACCAATGAAGAGTCTGTTGACATACTGCGGGTCTGGATCAGGAACATAAAATTCCGCGCAAGAACGATCTGGGATGCCTATTTCCCACAGCGTGGGGCCATCTCTTGGAGGCTCATAAACAAGATCACCCATCTCAATATTGCAACCTAAAGACCAGAATTTCATTTGGCCAGCCCATTTAGATTTCTTATCTTTAGCATGAACGAAAAGAGGGATCATCCTAGGTGGTATTTCGGAGAGACAGAACCTGAGGTTATGGTAATGGCTGCATCACATCGGTAATCTCCAATAAAACCTGGCACCGTTGCATAAAGATTATAGTTTCCAGTACGGACATTTCTAATGACGAAGTAGCCATTGTGATCTGTTGTGGTCCAAAACTGATAGTCCTACAATAAGAACGAGGAAAGTACAATCAAATAGATGCAAACTCAAACAATCAATCCAGCAAAAGCTGGGGAGAGAATGAGGTGACCTTGCACTCGCTTTGCCATGATCCTGCTTCACCAGGCAGCGCCAACCCAACATAGGCACCACGTGCCAGCATATAGTCATTGCTCATATACCTAACCATCATGTTGATGGAATCTTTTGTTAACTCTGCTAAATCTCAGAATCAAGAAGCATGCATATAAACATGTCACTGGAAGGCTAATAATTCAGAAAACCATTAAAAGTTGTTTCGGTCTCTACTACCTGTCCAGTACTAATAGTCTGCCAGCTACACTTCCCCTTTCATGCGGCTTTTGGAAATCCACAGATGCAGGAAAACTGTAAGGCCAGCTTTGGACTTCATTCATCATCTGCAGTATCAATGTATCTGAGTGTTTGTCAATCAATAAGGTCACTAATGAGCTGTTCATCGGGGGTTTGGAGAAGCAAACCTGTGTTTTAGCATCCTCCCACAGTAACTGAGGATCACTTCCATTGGGTGCTGAATTAAAATAGATAAAAACGGGGCCAAACACTTTCTTCCAATGCTCACCAGCGGCGACTGTAAGCAGCTGAAACTTCCCAGCATAATGTGTACTATGAAACATCTAATTCAGACAAGATCAACTACATTGGTTAATAAAGAACTACTCTTTTTGACAAAACAATCCGAAGACTGCTAATTAATAAAAACTTCCAACTTACAGCAAGAGTGGTGGGACCAACATGTGAGGTTAGGTTCTGCTTAAATGGCCCACCAGTTCGGAACTCATCGCTTGGTGTGATTTTCCAGAACCCAACTGCTGGGTTAAAAGATATCCACCCGTGTACCCTATTGTCTTTGTTATCACAAGAATATTGGTACTTATCATCCACCTGAAAATTATATTAGGCATGAGTAGAAAATTCAGTAAGTACTAAGAAATGGATGTTCTTAAAGGGTACTGTGAAGTATTACCTCTCCTTTGAGATTTGGATCCTTGGGATTGAGAAGAAGGACGGCTTCTGGAAATGCTAGCGTTTGGCATTTTCCCGCCATCCGGTCTTCTGGGAAAGGCATAATTCTTCTTCGATTATCTGCCATAGCCATGTACTGGAACCTAAAATAAAGAGTTGAGAAGAGAAATTTAGACGAATTTCAGAAACCATGTGTGCTGTTATCATCACTAACATGTAATCATGAAAAAATGAACAGGTCCTATTCTTTGATGATAGATACCAAAATGCATAATCGATGAAGTAAAAATGGCAACATGAAGCAACCCAAAAGAAAACTTCAACAACATCCGGTCTAATTATCTGGGAATAGGAAATTCCACCATAAACTTCATCATTGTCCTTCTGCAAATCGACATTCTGAACAAATGAACAAGGCAACCAACTCCAATGGGTGCAATCAAGTGCTTTAGTCAACCACCTCAAGCATGAGAGCAGAAATAGGCAGCAAATAAGAGAAGTTCCTTCTCACGAAACATAACCTCAACTTATATAACCAATTCGACTTGCAGGAATACGGAAAGACACTTTGAACTTTAACAGCTGAAAAAATGACATATGGTAATGGTACGATCAGTCAAACAAAAGAATCATGCATATACTACTACCCTTAGCTCCAAAGCAAATATTTGTTCTTAAATATCAACTGAGCGAAGTCGCAGCATGTGTAGACTACTCTTAGCTTCAAACAAATATTTGTTCTTTAATATCAACTGACCGAAATCACAGCAGAAGGCTTAAGAACTTCGGAAATAATCAATCATATCCTCAAGGTATCAGAACAATCAAACGAATAGTGGCTGGATTATTACTTGTCTTTTCTGAGTTTGAAAGTCATTCTTGTTTCTCCAATCTCAAAAGGAGGCCATTCCGCCATGTGCTCGTATATGGCATAAGTGTAGAAGCCAGAAGAACCACGGAGTAATATAAACCTGGAGAACAACAGGAGGTATCATGATTCTTATATGAAAATGGCTGAAACTAGATAATGATACAGCTGTCCTGAAATGCAGCACTATTACACAGTATGCTGATATGCAAAATTTGGCGAAAGAACCTTTTATCGATGATCAAGGGAATGGCCTTGCCTTCAAGAGAAGGATCCCACATTCTGATGAATGAGATCTCAATTTGTTCCTCAGTTTGCACAACAACACTAAACTGTGTTCCACTAATCCTGCATACATAAGAGTTTATTCATCATTCGGAGCAGTTTATGTTATAGAGCTTTTCTTGGTCAATTAAACGAATTAGGAAGAAGGATTCATATTCAAAGCAGAGTCTCAAACAATACAGTAACTGAAGAAATCTGTATCCATCAATAATCATAAATAGATCAAAGAGAAAATTTTGGCATCATACACATCAAATATTCCCTTGCCTCCAGGTGGATGCCAGTGAAGATCCCAGTACCTACGCAAGTAAAATCCTTGAGGCTCAGTCTATATTCTATAAACACAAACACTCAAATCACTAGGCATTCCAGCTCTGAAAAAGGAAGCCTAATCATAGCATATCTACCCCCTGTTCGTTTCACGGTTGAGAATCTCAAGCAAGTTGTCAATTCCTCCATATCTAATTCCAGTAACAATGCCCGCTGGATTAGAGAGTGTTACTTGGACTATTCCATTATCCATAACCACCTGCAAATTCAAAGAGTACAATCAAATCTCTGCTAATGAAGCCCTCCTGATTAACTAGCATATATCCAATCCATCAACCAATATTGAACACCAAAAGAAGCAACATGATAAGGAAGACGAAAAGAAAAGGCAATTTACATAGCGATCTTGAATATGAAGTCGAACCGGTTGATGAGACATGTTGTGGTTTCTCAGAGCATGCGGATCACCGTAAGATCCCTGGTTCGGGTTGTTTGTATCTGCGGAAGTACAAGTGTGAAGAAGGCAAAAGCACCCACAAAAGAAACAATGAAGGCACAGGGAGCAAATTGGTCCTGACTCTTCAAGACTAAGTAGGAAACATTCTAATCCATAGCCCCAATAATAAACGAGAAGTAAATCCAAAGACCAATCATAGCAAGAGCACCCTAAAAATGTGCAAAAACGAATGATGGTGGCTCTCTGACCATGATTGAAAACCGCCATTAATGATCGGCATTATGGTTTTGCTTTTCTTGTTTAGCAAGGCCGATGATTCCAAATACACCACCGCACGAAACAGCAGAAGAGCAGTTAATACCTAATTGAATATGTGCATCATCTAATCTAATGAAATCGTAATCAGACACTCCTTTTCTCCGTCATCGTCAATCGCAAGCTCTAAATCAATGGCGGGAAAGCGATCGGAAATTAAAACAAATTCCGGAAACGATTTCCTCCAGGCGATACTTTGTCCTGTGAAAATCAACGCGGAAGAGAGGGAGAAAGAGCGAGCGAGCGAGAGAGAGAAAGAGAGAGAGTTTCGGGTACCTAGAGGGAGCTGAGAAGTAGGGAGGGTGACATCATTATTACTTCGCCGGATGCAACCGCCACATTTCGCCAGAGAATCCAACACGCTCTCCACTCTCTTCTTCATTCATTCATTCATACAGCTCCCCCGCCGACTGATCAGCGACAAAGAAATCCACGATACCGCTTTCCTGTACCAATACGAATTCCCAATGAGATCTGAGACTACAGGCGGAATGATCGGAGATGGCGGCAAAACGTCGCTTCACTAGCCGTTATTATCATGGACCTTGCGAAGAATAAAGAAGTAAATACGCCTCTTGGGCCACCCATGCTCAAAATTCTCCTTCTTTACTTGATTGTTTGGGTTTTATCCGTCGGCAACTTTTCCCTTTTCATTTGAAGATTTTGTATTGTATTTCCACTACACAGATTGATGTTCCACATTTTGCGACATCTATCCACCCATGCCCTGTAGGAAGCAGAACGAGAGGATTTTGATAGCACGGAGTGAAGAAAGAAAGTGTAAGCTGAACAGAAGCTGTCATTTATCCGACTACAATCTCTAACTCGGACGACTTACAACGAAATTTACGTCTCTCACAAAAGATTACAGATCCCAGAAGAATTGTGATGATAAAGTCTTTGGCTAAATAGTTTTCGGCTAATTTACATGGAAGGAATCGGGTATAAATTATAACTATTTTTCTTGCACCTTCTTGATCTGGCTACTGCACTTGATTTGCCTCAGGTCTCTTCTGGAAAAGAAACGAGCCTAACAGAACAGCAATGCCGGTTATGGCAATGGTGAAGAAAAGGCGTTTCCGTGAATGCCCCTGTGGCGGCCTTCTTGGAGGAACTCCCCCTCTTGGCCCCCTCTCTGTTGGCCTTGGATTCACATCCCTTCAGAACAACAACCCAAGACCGCATTAGAATACACTATACAGTCAAGGAAAGATAAAAAAGAACAGATACAAACTATCGTTGCTGTCCATTTTTTAACAAGACAGCATTCTTCTCTCGGGATGGAAGCAAACAAAGCAACTTCGAAGTCGTGAATCCCTGCAATTTGCAGCTGTCTAGAAATGAAGTCCAAGCACGGCCACTCTTTAAGCTATTTTCAGTCTTCGCTCTACATATATGCATACCCGTCCATCGGAAGGTTTAACTCTTAACAATAACTATTACCTGCATGCTGCCCAAGCTTGCAGTTCTAGAAGCAAACTAGATGTCCAATGTGGTGGAACTTTTCTTACTTTTCACGGGTCTTCCATTCGCAACCAGTTACTATGCTAAGAACCCAATCACACTGACGTAAGCATTCATCTCAAATACTAGAAGTGATGCACTCAAGAAGACACGTGACATAATTAAGATGAAGTATATATACTTAACTAACAAGGCCTTCAAAGCTGCAGAATTACAAGCAGTGACAAACAGCAGGAAGTATACAAACATCAGAAGAATATAAAAGAAATCATGAATGAGGAAGCATGACAGTACCTGGAAGATCCAACTGTGCTATCGGGTACACCAGTGCACCTAAGCTCATGGTTGTACCTTTCTCTAAGCCTTATATATCTACGGCACAAGGGACACAGTTCTGTCCGGTTCCCACAGACCTCCTATAAGTTTCAGAAATAACATTAGGTATCATTTTTGCTAAACCATTGGCACTGAAACATATATATCTGTTTGCTCTACTGAGAAAAAAAAAATCAACAGGTTAGTTAGTTCCTACCTGATGCTCAGCCAAGTCAGCTGCAGGCAATGGAAATTCACAGAACTCGCATGTCACAATTCTTTGGGGACAGTTTTCCCCTTTGTGAACAGCCAAAATGTCCCGTTCCATTGTCTCACTGCAGAGAGAACAGGAAACCTGTGCCAGAAACAAATAAGTCAACACAACCTGCTATACTACATAGAACAAACCCGGACATATAAAAACAATAACCAAGTTGAGAGAAACCTGGCAAGAAAATCAATTCTCTCAAGCATGTCTCTGTGCAATTAAAAGAATTCAGTTTTATGTCCTATTTTTACCATAAATGCAGACAGACTGCCCTGCACCAGATATAACCAAACACTAGAACCACTAAGGTTCTCCAGAGAGAAGATACTATGAACCTGAATACCTCCCTAACATAAACAGGAACCAAAATAAAACATCAAACTATATAAGTCTTCTAGATAATAGCGTTCTCTAGACAAATAAATTCTTAACGAAGAAGTAAAGGGATCGAGCAATAACATAGCATGGTCAAGAGGAAGAACTATCAACCATGGTTCTAGGAAAATGTCATCCACTATTCAGTAAACAAAAGTGAATTGCTACATTCGAAAGGTTGCATACCGGTGCATGAGTGTTGGAGTAATGTTCCTCGGAATGTCGTTTGGGGACCATATCCCCACAGATTTTACATTTTTCGAGATTCCGGGAGCAATGTACCATATGCAGATCTAGGTTAGAGGATGGGATGGCTCTGTCACTGCAAAAAAATATCATAACCATCATCACAAATGTTCACGTGGCCTTAGAACTCGGAAGAACCATAGAAATAGGGTAATCATATCATCAGAAAATAATGAAATTCAGATTCAGACAGACCACTTAAGTCCCATTGATTTACACAAAGGCAGGAACACATATATCTGGGAGAAACATATAAACAAAGAGCAACCACCATACAGTAAACGGAAAGAAGATAACAACAGACTTACCTAAATTCCACACATTTGAAACGAAGCTACAAACATCGAACACACCAATTGACCCGAAGCAAAAAAGTTTCTATCTGATTAAACATTCAACCCAGCGGAGCCAGGAGAACATGACCGGATAAATCCAAACAGCTTATAAATACCCAAATCGAAATGAAAACCTAAGAGCAAAAATGACAACGAAGAAGTTGACCAGATTACCAGTGGGTGCAAACGCTGGTAGACTCCTCAGATGCCATCGCCATAGGCATTCGATAAACAGTGTGTGCGCGCGTCGGTGATCGCTGCTCTCCAGACCAAGAAAGGATCGCGAAAAGAAGAACACGAAGAGAAATTAAGGAGGCAAAAACGAACAAATTACGTAGAGAAATAGCTGAATAAGTTCAACAATCGAAACTTTACCTCCTATTAATTGCTTCAAATCGGGAAAAGGGAGGAACAGAAGAAGAATTCTACTAGTTCTCTGATGATGATGATAATAATAATAATAATAAATAATAATAATAATAATAATAATAATAATCCCTTCTTGTTTTTTCCCCTTGATGTTGGGTGTTTCTAGTTGAACGAAATTTTTTTTTTTATCAAAAGATAGCTTGTATTACCAAGAAACAAAGATCACAAACGATTACATCTCCGAACGGAGCCAAACGCAAAAATCAAACCCTCCGATAAGAGTAGGATACAAAGAAAGGGCCTTCCTAGCCACCCTATGGGCTACCCTATTGTTATCCCTACCTACAAATTGGAGAACATCCACTTCCACCGCAGCCAACAAGCCCTGGACTTCCCGCAACACTGCTCCTCCATAACAATCCCCCGTATCGCCGGCTAACACCTTGTCGATAACCACCTTCGCATCTCCCTGGTAACAGACGCCATGCACACCCATCGACCGACACCACAAGATTGCCTCACGGAGAGCCAGCAACTCCACCAGCATGGGATCCGTAATCTCCGCCCACCTCTTCCCCAAGGCACTAACCACTACCCCATCCGGCCCTTGTAGGACAATTCCCACCGCAGAGTGCGACGCCTCACTGCTCCATCAAAGGAGCATACCCAAGCCACCCCCTGCGGAAGTTGATGTGGGTCCAAAGGCAGCAGCCGACTTTGCCCTCGCAATCGGACCTCTGCCAACCTCGTCATTTGCTGCCATTCCTCAACCTGGACTAACCATTGGTTACGTAAAACTTCCCCAGTATATTGGCACCCCTCAAACACCACCCAGTTACGAGATTTCCAAACCCGCCACAGCAACGAGACAACACTGATAATAACCTACTCACTGGCCACCTTTTCCAACAGCCGCCGAACAAATACCCCCATATTCTCCTCCGGGAGCCCAGCCCGGACATCCATCAGTCCTGACTCTGCCCATAGCTTGTTAGCCACGGGGCATTGAAGGAACAAATGCTCCAGGTTTTCCACCTCATGCCAACACACCGGGCACCGCTCCAGCACCTCAATCTCTCGGGCAACAAAGGCCTCCGTCGTCGGCAAAATCCTGCTCATGACCTGCCACATAAAAAACCCGAGCTTCGGCGGAATCCCAAGATTCCACACCTTCCTCCACAATGCAGAATCCATCCAAGATGGCTCACACTTCCTCTTCCATCGGCTCCCGTTCAACCTCATCGCCAAATGATATCCAGACTTCACCGTATACTCCCCCGATCGATCCTCATGCCAGATCAACTTGTCCCGGACAGGAAGCCGTGGGAGAACAATCGCTTTAATCGCCCCCCCGACCGTAGGGGGAAAGCAATTAGCCAAGCAATCATCACACCATGTCCCTGGTTCTTCCCCCATCAGACCAGCCACCGTAGCACCCTCCCAAAGATGCGCCGAGGGCAACACCACCGGAGGATTAGGATGGCACCCCGGGACCCAATTTGCTGTCATAATCTCCACCTCCTCCCCCGACCCTAATTGCCATCGCATGCCTGCCTTCAACAGTTGAACCCCATGCAAGACACTCTGCCACCCCCAAGACGGTCTCGACCGCGCTGTCGCCGCCAAAAGCGTTCCGTTCGGAAAATACTTCCCTTTATAGATTCGAGCCAGCAACGAGTCCGGATCCTGCATAATCCGCCAGCCAACCTTCGCCAGAAGAGCTTGGTTAAACTGCTCAAAACGACGGAACCCCAATCCCCCGTCATGCTTACTTCGACACAGTTTTCGCCATGACATCCAATGAATTCTATCAATCGCACCACCCTACCAGAAGCGAGCCATATACTTATCAAGGCGACGACAAAAGCGTCACCGGAAGCTTAAAACATGCCATAACATAGACAGGCAATGCCGCCGCCACCGACTTCAACAGAGTCTCCTTCGCTGCCCAGGATAAATGCCGCTGTTTCCATCCTTGCAACTTCCGCAAAAGCTTCTCCTCCAAGAAGCGAAATGTTTCAGACTTCGACCTAGCAATTAAAGTAGGCAGCCCTAGATACTTATCCTGGACCCCCATAGCCCCAACCCCCAATCGAGCTGCCATATCCTCACAATCCTCCTGGAGAACATTGCGACTAAAACAAACAGCCGAATTATCCAAATTAACCCGCTGACCGCTCAATTCCTCATATTCTCCCAACACTTGGAGCAGGTTCTCACACTGTTGCATCGAGGCTTGCACAAACATATAAGAATCATCCGCGAAGAATAAATTAGTCACCCTAGGTGCTTGCGGGCTAACCCGCACCCCCGTTAACCGCCTGTCCAACACTGCTTTTTTAATCAAAGCAGTCAACCCCTCCGTACACAGAAAAAACAGAAGGGGGGACAACGGATCCCCTTGTCGCAGGCCCCGGGATGACTGAAAATACCCTGCAGGCATTCCATTCATCATAACAGAATAGGAAGATGACAAAATACATTCATGAATCCATCGAACCCACTGCTCCCCAAACCGCAGCTTCTTCAAGAGCGAAAGTAAGAACGGCCACTCGACCCTGTCATAGGCCTTTTCCATATCAACCTTTAGGGCCATGTAACCCTTCTTCCCTTTCGTCTTGATTTTAAGATAGTGCATAATTTCATGTCCAATCAGAACATTATCAACAATTTGTCTCTCCTTGATAAAAGCATTTTGCTCAGGAGAAACAACTGTTGGTAACACCAACGCAAGTCGATTTGCTAAGATCTTCGAGATAATCTTGTAAATCACTTGGCATAGGCTGATCGGCCTCAATTGGCGCATCGTCTCAACCTCTTCCACTTTAGGAATTGACGTAATCCACGTGTGGTTAAAGCTTCGGAGCAATTTTCCATTCTCAAAGAAAGACCCCACCGCCTCCACCACCAAGGGCCCTACTATGTCCCAATACGACCGAAAAAATTTCGCCGTGACCCCATCAGATCCTGGAGCTTGTGTCGGCCCAATCGAAAAAACCGTACGCCGGATCTCGTCAGCCGAGACATGAGCAACCAGCTTCTAATTCATATCGGTCGTGACCACCCTCTCAATAGGCAACGACGCCACCCTAGCATCCACATCCCCAATCTGGTTTTCCGACGTAAACAGAGTACCAAAAAACTCAACCGCCATTTTAGCCTTATCAGGCTCTTCTTCGACCCATCCACCATCCTCACCACGAAGTTTGGCGATAAAGTTCTTCCTTCGTCTAGTTCGCGTGACCGTATGGAAATACGAAGAATTTCTATCCCCTTCCTTCAGCCATCGAACCCGGGACTTTTGTTTCCAGAAAAGCTCCTCCGCTGTCCATTGTCTTCCTAATTCCCCTTCCAGCTCCCTTATCTTATCCCAATCCACCGGATTAACCCTCCTGATCGCCTCAATCTCCTCTTGAAGAGTTCGAATATTCCTTGCTGAATTAGACACCCCCCCCGCGGGCCCAATCATACAGCATATGCCGGACTTTCTTAAGCTTCGTCCACAATTTATACATGGGCAACCCCGCCTCCTCCTGCGACCAAACATAATTGACCATCAGGCGCACCTCCGGGTTTTTCACCCATCGGGCATCAAATCGGAACAATCGTCTGGCCATTCTCTTAAACGGTTTATCAGCCACTATAAGCGCCCGATGATTGGATCCAATATCCGTACAATGGAGAACAATCGTATCCGGGAAGGACTCCACCCTGCCAGCAGAGCTTAACGCCCGATCCAACCTTTTTTGCACACACGCGGCCCCCATCTGCTTATTCGTCCACGTGAACAAGGGTCCCTGGAACCCAAGGTCCCGCAAAGCCAGCGCATCAACAAAATCACGAAAATCCTGGGACTGGGCAGGGGTCCACGGCACCCCTCCATCCTTCTCACTAGAGGACAAAATCGAATTGAAATCCCCCATGATGATAAAAGGGTCTGAAATCCCCTAACAATAAACACGAAGAGCCTCCAACTGCCCTCGCCGCACTGCCTCAACACAACTAATGTAAACACACACCACCACATACGGAAATTCCATATTATTAATCCGAATAGAAATAAAAAAAGAAGAACTAGACAGAACCGAGGCACAAATGCTTGGGGACCACCCTACCGCTAGGCCGCCAGACATATCAACGGCATCAACAAGAAAACAAGAATCTAAATCAAACCCTAACCCTCGCATACGACCAGTGACAACTTTTCGACGAGATCTGGTCTCCGACAAGAATACAAAATCCGGATTATTAACTCTAACAAGCCCTAACAGCGATTGGAACGTGAGGGATGGCCCAATCCCTCTCACGTTCCACGATAAAAGTCTCATTTAATCGATTGGGGCCATTTCGGGCTGGCTACCTCCACCGACTCTCCTGGCTCCTCGCCTGTCTTTTCCGCGCAAATTTTCTTTGTTGGTGTCGGATCCCGCGGAAGATCCTCCACCATATCCGCTGATCGCTTTCGATCCTCTAACTCCTCGTCCGCAATCGTCATCCTGAAAACCTCCGATAGCTTGGGCAAATTAGAACCATATTCATCAGCCACCGTTGTGGTCGCATCAACCACCATTAAACTCTCGGCCCCGTCCTGCTTCTCCACCACCATCGCGCTCTGGTCTGCATTTTGTGTACCGGCTGTTTTATCCAAGGCCTTTTTATCAGCCTGTACCGCAGCCCCATTCCCAGCCAAAGGCGATGGGCCGCCTCCCTTATCCCCAAGGCCCGCTACCACCGCCGGGCCCAACTTCAGTTGCCCTTCCATCTTCGTCCCCCCTATCTCGCGAAGAACTTTCTGGTCGGCACCGCTATCCTCACCAGCACCCTCCGCCCGCCTTTGCTTCCCTTTCCCCCCGCCCTTCGACCCTTCCCCCAACTCCTTCACCGCCATCTCAGCCCGCCCTCCATTGGTCGGCGGATGCTTCCCGCGAGCACTGGATGCTGTGCCCTTTGGCTGCCTCGCCATCTTCAGTCGATTCCCCGTCTCCTCCGCCTGAGACCCACGCCCAGACTTCTGTGAGCCAGATGTTCCCCCCTGCCGGTTTGTTTCTCGGCCCCCTGCACCCTGCAGCTTCACCTGGGAGCCCTTTGGATCGCGATCTCCACCCGCAGGAAGAGCTAAGACCGATTCCCGCCAAGCCCCCTTCTCCTCTGGCTT